CCCCCTTCCCCTCCCCCTTTTCTGATGAAGGGTCTAGGCCCGAAACGTCAGCCTCTCTGCTCCTATGATGCTGCTTGGCCTGCTGTGTTCATGCAGCCCTGCACCTTGTTGTCTCGGATTCTCCAGCATCTGCAGTTCCTACTATCTCTGATTCAAATAGAGCCAATTTAGTTTTATGGAAGGAAAATCGTATTTCTCAAATTTATTATAGGCTGCTTTATTCATTTATTGCATGTGTGTCAGTTGCAAGGCCAGCATTTTGGCTATGCCTAATTGCCCAAGAATGGAGTGGTTTGTTAGGCCATTTCAGAAGACAGTTACAAGTCCACCACATTGCTGAGTGTCTGGAGTCACATATAAGTTGGACCAGGTTAAGTACAGAAAGTTCCTTTTTCTATAGGACATTAGTGAACCAAATGTGTGTGTGTGTTTTTTTAAATAACAATTATTACATGATCATCGTTAGATAGCTTTTCATTCTAGATTTTTTTTTAATGGAATTAAAGTTTTACCTATTGCCATGGTGGGATTCATGTCCTCAAAGACATTAGCCTTAGATTCTGGATTACTAATCAAAGAAAACATTATCTCGATACCACTGCCGTCCCTGTGGAAGTAACAAGCAGGGTGAATAAAGGTGAACGATGTATAGTGTATTTTGATTTTCAAAAGCAATTGATAAGGTGCCACATAATAGGTGACTGCACAAGATATGAATTCAAAGTGTTGGAAGTACAGTGAAATCACAATGAGTGAAATCCAGATGACACAAAATTCTAGTTATTTAATTTTTGTTGAACATTACCACCAGTAAAATAGCAAATTCAATTAGAATAACATTCTAAACTGGAATTCTACACTGGTTGCTCCAGATTAGGTAAACTTGACTTGCCATATGAAGACACCAAGCAATCAGATTGAAGTTAGAGCTCACAAGAACATGAAATCATGGACAAGCCATCACTTGATATCAAGATTTTCCCACGATAGGATGCACAAAGCCTTCCAGTTGGTTAAGCATATGTTAAAGTTCAAAATCTTGCCAATTGGAGAGAAAGAGAAATTAATACAGCAAGTGGAAAACCCTGGCATGAAGTGGAAAGTGGACATTAGAGAGGAGTAGGTGATCCCACCATCAAGCTTATCTACCATTATGTAAATCATTTTGGAACAGGCAGATATTCTTTCCAGTAAGGAAGAGAATGAAATCTGTTGCCTGAAACTGAATAAACTCCACTCTTCAATGCAGTTTGAGCAGAGAACATTCTCATTCCCAGTCCAGTCCTGCAGGAAAGGGCAAAGAGGCTGACCACAAGGAGTCACCTGTAGCAACGGATGGTTGGACCGAATTAAGACAAGGCACATCGACATGGTGAGGGTGTGGCAGTATGGTAGAAATGTTAGATGATTGGCTCCAAAATGCCCCCAACATTTTGAACAAATGTGCACCATACCCATTATATGACATTTTTAACATGGATGAAACCAGACCGTTTTACTCTGTTTTGCCAGATCTCTTTGACGTTTAAAGGTAAAAGTGGAGCAAAGAATGATGAAAAAGATGTGAAAAGTGGTGATGGAAGCCAGAATCATCACCTGCTTCCATCACCCTGAATTCAAACAGTTAACAGCCACACAAGCCGACCAGAATGTGAAAGAGCACAGTAGGGACAACCTATTGGCAACGCTCCTTCCACTCAGCTGCAGGAGGCTGGAAAGGAAGTTTCAGCAGAAGCAACGATGGAAACTTGCAATATGGTGCATGACAATGTGCACCTCACAATGGAACTGACAGATGAGACAATCATATGTTTAGTATGTTCTTCAATCAAGGAGGCCAGTGACCTGAAAAGTCCAGTGAATGCCTACATGTTTGCCCAACTGTATCCCTATCCAACACCATAAATGCCATACAGATCTTCCAGGATTTTGCATTGCTACGTAAAAACACCACAACTGTTTGACTGCGTGTAAAAAGGGTAAAATTACCATTCTCTTACCAGACCATAGAGCTGGGGAGAGATGACTGTTTGAGGTTGAGAAAAAGAATCCTTCATGGTAACCCCAGCCAGTGTGTGGGAGTTGAACTCACACTGTTGGTGCTACTCTGCATCGCAAACCAGCTGTCCAACCAACTGAACTAACCAGCCCCTTGTCTGTGTGACAGCAAGGTGGACTGTATCACACTTGTCTGAAGACAGTACAGATGAGAAAAAGATTACAATGTTTTACCAGAGCTAACTCTTTGGCCTTTTTCAATGCAAATTCTTTGCTTTCTGCAAGGTCAGGCCATTGAATAAAGACTTTTTCGTACATTTAGCGTTCTACTGTGTTTCATTTGGTGACTGAATCTGTTGTTTTTGCCATAGACCATGTTTCAAGGCATTTTGAGTTACATAGAGACACACATTCCTGTGGGAACCGGCTATCACATGCTCCTCTTAACACAATTTGAAGGTGGTTTCCCTGGAATTCAACATATCAAGATGTTTCCATTTTATAATGGTGTAGTTTGAGGCTTGTCTCAGCTGTGACTCATTTGGGAGCCCACTTGTCTCTGTGTTACAAATCAAGTCCCACTGTCATTGTTGCACAAAAAAGTAAAGCCTGTCACTCCAGCATATTATTGAGTGGGTTCAGCATTGAAGATGTGGTCCTTCTGAGGAGGTGAAAACAGAAGTTTTATCTGCCTCCTCCAGTGGATTTTAATGTCACATTTCATTATTTCAAATAAGATCAGGAATGTTATCACTGTTGGCCTGGACAATATATATTTCTCAATAAACAGCATAAAGACAGGTTATCTGATCATTATCACATACTCTTGTGAACGTTTGCTGAGTGCAAACATCAAACATTTCTGATTTGAATTATTTTATTTATTACTATGACCTGGCACGAAAAGTGTTAAATACCTTTGGCTATGTTTCAAAGACCTTGCAATATCATTACCATTCAAAGTCCAGTTGATCTATCAGTAACAAGAAGGAAACAAGACAAGTTAATGTGAGTTAGGTACAACAACAGAATTATATTTCAGATTCAGGTCATACAATATATTTTTCTTTCTTTATTTTGGATTTCTAGTATGTGATCTTAATTTTACCAGGGTTAACCTCAGAGTTTAAATCCTTTTCCATGTCCCTCCCATAGCTTAGGTTGAGATCCAACTGGGTATCTTGCTGCTCTGGGCAGTTCTCAACTGGATGAAATTAATTGTGTTTAGTAACATGTGAAATAGAAGCAATAAATATGGCCC